ACAGGGTAGCTGTAAACTATCACATAATAAAATCTCTATTGAAATCACAATTACATGTTTAATTTTATATATTTAGTATCTTTAATCAAATTCTATGTATTTTACACACACATTCTGATGTCATTTTATTAACATTTCTCTTGCTTGTTTATATTTTTCAGAAAAAAAGAAATAGTATCTACATTTTGTTTCTTTTATTCTGAAAAATAAATTGTCATGAACATCCTTCTTAGCAACAAAAAGAAATGTAATTGTAATAAATTAATATTGCAAGTTATAAGATGCATGTATAATATGAGGCACATCCAGAAATTAAGTTATGATTGGCTACAAAGGAACAGAAACTATTTTTTAAAACTATATTTTCTGATGTTGAAAAATAACTCATGTTTATTATCATACTTACTTTTGAGGTGCAGACAGTTGTCATAACAATACATAAAGTTTTGCAAATCCTCATGCATCCTGCCAACTTATGGACTCAATCATGAGTTGTTGCCCTTTAAAAAATGTATTTAAGTGTGAAAGTAGGTGGAAGTCAGAAGATGCTAATTTGGAACTATACAGCAGATTTACCGCTTGAGTTTTTTTCAGCAATTCATGTGTGATGCAGGCAGAATGTGACCATGCATTAGTATGAAGAACTTATTAAGCCACATCTTTTGTTTTGAATTGTCCACTGTAGTTTTAGGTTATCAAAATAGCTTCTAACATTTATTATTGCTCTATGAAGTGTAAACTGAATGAGCAGAACACCCTTCTCATTCTAATAATGATGCATGTAAGCTTCTTGGCAGAAAACATCTATTTTACTTTGTTTTTGGAAAGTTAGCATATTTTCATTCCATTAGTTGCTTCTTAGTCTCTGGTGTTGAGTATGCAATCAATTTCATTGCTTGTCACAATGTGCTATAAAGCCAAACATTTGGCAGATTACGTTGGGCTATATTAATGCTATTAACTACTGATTAAATTTCAAGTAATTTGGCTTAGAGATAGGCTTTAAGTGACCTTCCTCTCTCGATAAATGTAATAAATCTAATTAAGTTAATATTTTAACTAATTAATTTAGAAGTTTGTGGAAGAAAAGAATTGGCCCAAAATGGGATCAAACCAATTACTCTACAAGATCACCATTCGATCTTTGCTTCCAGAACTATTAATTTAGATATAATCCTACTGGTTACTTGTGGTGCTGACTGGGAATGACTCTGTGCCCATGGCCTATAACTCCCATTATGGCACTCAGCTGACTAATGCTTTACCCAGCATGGTGTATATATACAAATGTAAATATCTACAAACCCAATTTTAAATTAAGATTAAGACCAAGTCCAGCAATTGTTTTGCAATAAGTTTATGATATCAAACTTGAAAATAAACAGTAATACATGAATGTATTAAGACTCATCATTGAAATTTTGTCATAATATGCCAGTGATTCTCAATAAGGTTGAGATCAAGACTGTTATTTGGACAGCTTAGATATCTGGTCTAGATCTCTCCTCTTGTGGGAATTTTTTATACCTAAACAATTTCTGTGACAAGTGATGATAATGCTAACAAATCATAAAGAAAGAGAACATTACACTTTACTCATCGTCTTGATACAGTAATGTCAGTTGAAAGATGCAGGATTTCATTTGATCTTGCATTTGAAAATTATTCTGATTGTTAGATGTAGCTTGACAAATAAGACATTTTTGTATTATTCTGCATTCTCAAACCCATTTTGTAAAGGTGTAGTCTAACGACACTTCATATGCATCCCCATACCATTTGACTTGGAAAACTTTTCTATCTACAGCATACATTCATGCTATAGACCACTTTTTTTACATCTAACATAGAGTGCCATCTGATTCATGCAGATTAAATTTGGATTTATCAAGAAGCATAATGGAATCTCATGTCAGTGTTCCAGTTTGTGTCCTGTTGAGCCTAGATAAGCCAGTCTTCACATTTTACTTGTTAGTAATGGCTCCTTTATGTGGTTAGTAGGTTTTTAAACCCACATTGCACAATTTATGAACTTGCTTTTACTCCTGTTTTCTCACTTCACTTTTAGTTAGGAGGAACTTGCGGTATGTTCTTGCAGGCTGAGACACTTTAGCATCCTATCTTTGCACAGTTTAATTACATATTTACCTCCTAATCTAGCTATTCTTTCCATGTTGCTATGTTCATGTCTTCTTTGTAGCAAATGCACAATTGTTGATTTGATGACAGTGGACATGACAGTGGACACGCTCATTTCATGAGACGTTAAATCTTTGGGATTTAAAAAAATAATTAGATTTTATTAATGGTGCTACCTGTTGAAAACTTCATTTTGTTTATAAAATTCTCCTTTGCATAGGTTCTTATATCATTGGATGATGCAATTACCAGAAACATTGCTGTAGAAAACTTTGTTTGGCATATTTATTGGCTAATAATATACCAGATTTTTTATTGGGCTATATTAAGGCTAATAAATAATTGGAAACAAAGTGATTTGTCCACCATCTCATGAGAACTTCATTACATTTCTTAAATAATTTGATATATGAGGGATGTTAAAAAGTATCAAACCTTTGGTCAGCAAAAATACATTTATTGATTGATGTACAAACCTTAATCCCCTTCAAAGTAATCTTTGTAATTTATACAGTTCTCCCAGCACTCCTGCCATTGCTGGAAACACTGCTCAGTCAAATCCTCAGTCAAAATTGAATGTACCGATCCAATGCTTACTCCTGTCTTGTTTGCAAGTTCTCTGACTGTGATACGATGGTCAACTTAGATCAAAGTCTGTACTTGCTCAATGACAGTCTCATTTTGGTTTGTTGAGGATCTGCCTGAATGCGGTTTGCTGTCCACTGATGTGCGGCCATCTTTGAAGCGGTTGTACCATTTCTTTATCCATGTGTTGCTCATGGCATCGTCCCCAAAAGCCTGTTGAATCTTGTGAATGGTTTCCGCTTGGTATTGCCAAGCTTTTGGCAAAATCTGATGCAATATCTCTATTCATGTTGTTCAGTCATTTTCCAACTTACTGGAATCCAACAAGCACTCGCTACACGTCCTCACTCATAGGCCGACTGCCAGCGACTGATGCTTCCTACAGGCGGGAGAAAATTCAGGACTGCACACTGCCCCTCCACACCTCCACTGAAGGAGGTCTCTCGCGCATCATTGGTTTACACAGGAAAAATAAAGGCCCGATACTTTTTGAATACCCCTCATATAAGAATTATCATTCTTGTATATTGGGTTATGTTATCAATGGAACATGTTTGCATTATCCCTGACATCATAAACATGAAATTTTTATGGTTTCTTATAGGTCTGCAGCAAAATAATACTTTTTAATTTTAAAGATAATAAACAAACATATGCATTCATATAGGGATTAATGAGTGGTGTGATTTTAATGGCTGTTATGACATGTACTATTTATAAAATCCTAATGTATCATTTAATTTTAAATATCTTACTATTACATTTTTAGTATTTCTGTAATTGTTTGTGACAAAATTGTATTTATTATAATGGAACTATTGTATCTTATGAACTGAGTGTTTTTGTACTTCTAAATTTATAATTTATTAACATGTCACTTGTATGAGGGCTGTTTGGAAAGTTTGCAGCCTTGCCTATATGTGGTGCTCAGATTAATTTTATTTTTTGCCGGGAATAATTCAGCCATCTTTGCTAAAGATACAATACCAATTTCCACTTGATTTATTGTAAAGTTTTGCCACGACAGCTTAGCAGATAGTCAGTGTGCACATACTTTGTCAAAAATGGAGAAGATGGAGACTCGTGTGGTCATAAAATACGTGACGAAAAAAGGGTTGACCCATCTCAAATCAAAGCTGACATGGATGAAGTTTTGGGGGAGTGTGCTTTTTTGTACACCACTGTGAAAAAATGGACATCTCTTTTTAAATCTGGCAGAGAGAGTGTGGAAGATGACCCTCGCAGTGGACGGCCTTCAACTGCTATCACTGAAGAAAATATTGACAAAGTTCATGATTTGGTGTCAGCAGATTGCTGTTTGAAAACGTGTAAGATAGCTGAGACAACAGGCATCTCTATCGACCGAGTGCACTGCATCCTAACCGAAAATTTGGGTATGACGAAGGTCTCAGCAAGATGGGTGCTGCGTCTGCTGACTGCTGAGCAAAAACGTGTTTGCACTTTGATGTCAAAGGAGTGTTTGGATGTCTACCATAAAACCCACAGGATTTCTTGCGTCAGTTTGTGACTACTGACGAAACGTGGATCCACTATTACACTCCTGAAACAAAAGAACAGTCGAAGCAATGGAAACACCACAGTTCGCCACCACCAAAGAAGGCAAAGACAGTTCCATCAGCAGGGAAAGTGATGGCCTCGGTTTTTTGGAATGCTAAAGGCATCATCTTTATTGACTACCTAGAAAGAGGAAAGACCATTAATGCTGACTATTACTGTGAACTTTTGGAAAAACTGAAGAAAGAAATCGAAGAAAAGAGGCCACACTTGAAGAAGAAAAAGGTTTGTTCCACTACGATAATGCACCTGCACATTCCGCCAGAATTACTGAACAAAAGATAAACAAACTTTGCTTCCAATTAGTTCCACATCCACCGTACTCATCTGATTTGGCCCCCAGTGACTTCCACCTTTTTCAAAACCTAAAAAAATTCTTGGCTGGAAAGAGATTCCACTCAAATAACGAAGTCATCTCTGAAGTGAACTAGTATTTTGCAAACCTTGACAAAATTGACCTATTGTGATGGCATAAAAAAGCTAGAACATTGCTGGAATAAGTGCATTGCTAACAAAGGAGACTACATTGAAAAATAAAAAAGTTTTAACATTATTTTGTTTGTTGTTCTATTTGAGGCCGTGAACTTTCCAAACAGCCCTCGTAGATAGATTATACTTTTCATTCCTATTGTATAATGTAGCAAGATTTTTTTTTATGTTAAACTTTATTTAGAAAATATAACTTCTATGAATATTTCCAGTATTCTGAAATTAAAGAAAAACTTTATGTAAACATGGCAGTGGCGTGTCCAATTCGCTTTAAGGTGAAAAAATTGCCACCAGATGGCACCATTATTCGTGCAACACCTGTTTTTATTAGTTCAGAGTTTAGAGAGGATGTTGCTAAACGTATACTTCAAATTAAAGCTTAAAATATTCTTTCTGAAATCTTAATTATTTTTATTACTTTATTCATTTTCTTTTTACATAAGTGAAATTAAAAAATTTCAAAAAAGTTTCCTTTAGGCTAAAAGAAGTCTATATATTCATCATTTGTAATTAATTAATCACTAAATTAGAAATCACTTATATTTTTAAGCTATTATAAAAATTATAATAATTTTATATTGTATAAGTATTCTTCATTTTCACTTAGAATTATTTTATCTTGATTCTAACAAACATTCTTAATTTTTATTTGTCCAAAATAGAGATAGGTGTTATAATTGAAGGAATCTTACATTTACAGTTAAGAAGGCATTTCCAATAGAAAACATGGTGCATTACATACTGATGATATTTATTTTTAGCTATATTATTCAATGATTGTATCAGTTCAAATGAGTTTTGTTTTACTAGTAACAAGTGTTTAATATTATGGCATTTGTATTGTTTTTCTAAACTGTAGTATTCTTAGTTTGTATCAATAAAATTGATTACTTTAAAGTTTCTCTCTTCATTAAAAAAAAATCTGAAAATTTGATTTCAAAATCATGGTGTCTCTTAGAATCAGTGGCATCTTAGAAATGAACAAATATAGTATATATAATTTTGTAACAATTATTTATATTTTATTATGCCAATTTGTTATGAATTTTGAATATTAATAAAATAATTTTTTATTTTTATGTTAGCTCTTCTTCAGATGATGATTGTGAATTTTCTGTTTCTTTTGAGCCACAAGAAAATATTAAGAAAAGTACTAACTGGACAGTAAGTCTGAATTATCTATAACACACCTTTAACTGCCGTAAACCATCGGGCTATAATTTGGCAATAATAATTCCTATAATTAATAATTAGAAGGAGGCTATTATTGCCTCCTAGAAGGAGGCAATAATAGCCTCCTTCTAGGGCCAACTTTATAAATTACTAATAAAGTTGGCCCTAGAAGGAGGCATTAGGTGCCATCTTGTATTAAATTTAATAGTTATAATTTTAATCTAATATGAGATGATGTTTAACGCCTTCCTTAGGGCCAAATTTATTAGTAATTTATAATTATTATTGCCAAATTATAGCTCGGTCATTTATGGCAGTTGAAGGTTATTGCAATGTATCAGCTTTAGTAAAGTGATTTGTATTGAATTATCTACTTAATTATGTTGAACATATAAAATATTTTATAGAATAAATAAAAATTTAAATATAAAACTCCTTGAAAAGGCAAGAAGAAATTTATAAGCATAGAAAAATATGTTTTTGAATACTAGCAAAATATTTGAAGTTTTTTTAAATAAGTTTTATAATTCAATTTATAGAATATATTTTAAATTGAATAAATTAATTCAGAATTTTATTTTAAAATTTAACAAATTATTAGAAATTATTTTGAGTTTTTTAAGATAATTTGAATTTTTGTACTTAAAGGTAAAGTGATTGTAACATATCAAAAATGTTTGGGCGGTATAAAATATGCGTGATACAAATCTGTGTTATGCTTATTTTCAATACCAAAAAAAAAAACTATTTTTAAAATACTATAATATGGAATAAATAGATAGATTAATTTTACAAAAAAAACATGAATTAAATAAAAACACCAAAAAATAAAAAACAGTAATTATGCAATTTGTGATATTTTACTAGGGATGTAGCAGTCTTCCATCAATTAAATATAGCATTTCAAAAATCAAATAACATGTCAAGGAAAATACAAAAAAAAATTTTCAAGAATAATAAAATATTCCAAAGATAAATATATAGTACAGTGGGTGATCGGTTAACGAACAGATCGGATAACGAAACCTTCGCGAAATATTTTCATGTTCGGACAACGAACACACGATTGGATAACGAACACCCCACAGAACAAACACAAGAAGCGACGTAAAATAATGAATACCGATTGGTCTTCCTTTGTCTTCGAGCAACAATTCGAAACTTTTTGGAGTGTGGGAGGCATCGACATCGACGCTCAAGCCGGTATATATTGATCGGATAGTTTTCCTCCGAACTTTGAAACACTCTCTTGTAATTCCAGCCTTTTATTTTTCTGACAAAACAATTCTTTTATGTATTCGCGAGACTGTCGGGTAGGCACTCGTTAAGTTTTGCGTCCTTTTTTTTTTTCGAAAGACGAGAGTATAATAGCAAAGGTAGAGAGTGGGCAG